TGTGACTTGGGATCATTAGGTGGAAAGAATTCTGAAATAGGCTTTTGGAATTTGATTCTTCTTATTTATTTAGTCCTGCACTCCATAAAATGATAGTGATTAAAATGAGTGCTAATATGTTTTTAGGCTTCTCATCATGGTCACTCCACAGTCTCCTGGATTTTAGTATATTAGAGCAGTGTGTGGGCCATTTTCTCAGAGTGTGAATTGTTCCTGTGAAATAGTTTGCAGAGTTAAGTAAAATCTGAAGAAAGGGAATTTTTGTGGGGTGCTCTTATTCAATGACATATTTGTAAATCAATTCAGTAATTAATGTTTAGGATGTAATACACTAGAGCACACTTTTAATGCTGGCTTATTAAAGTGATATTGTGGGAGATACACTCTTCCTTTTGTATAGGGTATGATTTGATCCATAGCACTAAAGTGGATCCAAATTAGTAATGTCTTTTTTTTGTTTTGTTTTGTTTTGTTTTGAGACGGAGTCTTGCTCTGGTGACCAGGCTGGAGTGCAGTGGCATGATCTCGGCTCACTGCAACCTCTGCCTCCTAGGTTAAAGTGATTTTCCTGCCTCAGGCTCCTGAGTAGCTGGGATTACAGGCACCCACCACCATGCCCTGCTAGTAGAGATGGAGTTTCACCATATTGGTCAGGCTGGTCTCGAACTCCTGACCTCAGGTGATTCACCCGCCTTGGCCTCCCAAAGTGCTGGGATTACAGGTGTGAGCCACTGTGCCTGTGCCTGGCTCTTTTTTTTGTTTGTTTTTGAAGGAGTCTTGCTCTGTCACCCAGGCTGGAGGGCAGTGGTATGATCTTGGCTCACCTCCCAAGTTCAGATGATTCTCCTGCCTCAGCCTCCCGAGTAGCTGGGATTACGGACACCCGCCCACCACCATGCCCAGCTAATTTTTGTACTTTTAGTAGAGACAGGGTTTTGCCATGTTGGCCAGGTTGGTCTCAAACTCCTGACCTCAGGTGATCCACCAGTCTCAGCCTCCCAGAGTGCTGGGATTATAGTTGTGGGCTGTGCGGCCAAATTTGTAGTGTTTTGATTCAGGCTCAGGAATTTATGTTTAGTCACTTTATGAGAGTAACTTGGTCTTTCAGGAGTGAAGTTATTAATGAAGCTTATAGAAATGAATATTAAGTTTAAAATATTTCACTGTTAAGTGAGAAAAGCCTCCAGGCAGTTGAAAATGGTTTATTTAGGAAGCTAGATTCATGGATGGTTATGCTTTGGTGAAAATAGAATAAGGGGGTTAGGCAGTTTTAAGACATAACATTTTCAGCAAATCAGACTTGAGGTACCCACAGATTAACGAGCTATTCGAGCTGCCTCTCTGAGATAGTTATTTGAATGGGCACCTTCTTTTAATTGTTAGGATATTCTTTTTGTAACCCTCAGTATACCTGGGAAAACAGTCATCACTGATCATTTACCACATAATTTTGTAGCAGAAATAATTAAAGGGTAGTAAGATCATTATTAGACCTTACTCTTTTTTTTGAGACAGGGTCTCGCTCTGTCACCCAATTTATAGCATAGTAGCATGATTATGGCTCACTGCAGCCTTAACCTGCCAGTCTCAAGTGATCCTCCTTCCTCAGCCTCCGAAGTAGCTGGGACTAGAGGCATGCACCAACCACACCTGGCTAATTAAAAAAAAATTTTTATAGAGATGGGATCTTCCTGTGTTGCCCAGGCTGGTCTCAAACTTCTGGGCTCAAGCAATCCTCCTGCCTCAGCCTCCAAAAGTGCTGGGATTACAGGCATGAGTCACTGTGCCTGGCCATTATTAGACTTTTTTTAAGGCCATTATTGGCTCCATGCTGGAGTATAGTGGAGCAAACACAACTCACTGCATCCTTGACCTCCTGGGCTCAAGCGATCCTTCCACCCCACCCCAGGCCCCCAAGTAGCTGAGATTACAGGCACATGCCACTATGCCTGGCTAATTTTTGTACTTTGCATAGTGATGGTGTTTCTCCATGTCGTCCAGGCTGGGCTCGAACTCTGGAGCCAAAGTGATCTGCCCACCTCAGCCTCCCAGAGTACTGGGATTACGGGCGTGAGCCACCACGCATGGCCTTATTAGACATTTTAATAAGAGTTTAAACATAGCAAATCCAACTTTTTCATATTTTCCAGATTTTGATGATATATGTATCTACAATGAATGCAGTTCTCTAAATGTAACTAACTGCTCACTGTTACACATGAACCTAGAACATAGCAATCTTACAAATATTGCTAGCAGATTTAAAATATATGTCTAATAAATTCTAGCTTATTCTGGTTATTCTTACAGTTAGATCATCAGAATGCAGTCCTTGAATACGTTGGAACTTTTAGTGGCATCTCATTCTATTGAGGAAGGGATAGCCATCTCTGCTGTAATTTTAGTATTTTTAGTCAATTGGATTGACTAATCTATTGAATATTTTTGCATTTCATTGTCTTTTCTTTTTTTCTAGTTAACCTTTGTATGCACATCTGCTTTTGATATTTCCACTTATGAAGTACATTTCGGCATACAAACGTTTCTTAAAATTTTATCTTCAATTTTTATTTTACCTTGTTTTTTTTGGAACAGGGTCTCGTTCTGTCACCCAGGCTTGAGTGTAGTGGCACGATCTTTCCTCACTGCAGTCTCAACTTCCCAGGCTCCAGCAATCCTCCCACCTTAACCTTCCATGTAGGTGGGACCACAGGTGTGCTCTACCACACCTGGCTAATTTATTTTGCATTTTTGGTAGAGACGGGGTTTCATCATGTTGTCCAGGCTGATCTTGAATTCCTGAGCTCAAGCAGTCCCCCCGCTTGGCCCTTCAAAGTGCTGGGATTACAGGTGTAAGCCACTGCGCCTGACCACAAACATCTTAAAAGATGAAAGAATACTGTCTAATACCCTTTTAGCAAACCAGGATGATCTGGGTTCTGGTTGGAGGATTTTGCAGTCTCAGTTGAGTCATTAACTGGATGAGAATGCACATCGTCTTTTCCTCTTAGAAATACATTGTTTGAGAATATTCATCTAAGATGTCACCATCTGAAGACTTCATAGTCTGAAGTCTGAAATTGCTTTGTAAGATAATTTCACATTTATCAGTAGAACCTAGTGTGCTGCTGTCTCTCTGCATCTGTTGTCTGATACCTCTACTAATTAGAAAGGCCTTCCTCTGTAATTTTTTTTCTCTTCGCAATTATGAGTGAAAAATTCATAATTATCAACTGGTCAACGGTAGCTAAAAGCAGACTACAAGGATGGTGTTTTTGATCTTTTGAACTGTTTTGAAAGAGATGTGATACCTGGGGCTATGCAGTAAGGAAACTGTATGAACATTAACAATTTATTTCACTGTTGCATCCTCTAGGTGATGCCATCATTCCTCTGTTCCATGTTAGTCTTTATTTAAAGCATAACAGAATAACTGATGAATGTTGATGAAATAGTAAAGTGTTTCAAGACATAGGAAAAATAAGATCGCTAGATTCTACCTTACATTTATAAAAGGGCCCAGTGGATACATATAATAATTACAGTATAAGGGTGAGTTTTATTTTAGTGTTAAACTTTCTTATTCTTGGAATATGTCTAAGGAAGAATATAAGTCGTGAGATATTGATCCCTTTGAATAGTTAGATCTGTTTATAAAAGAAATGGAAAAACTAAAATTGAGTTTAATGGACCCTGATTGGTAAATTGGACTTACTGGTTTTTCTCATAGCTTTTTTTCTAATCATGGTGTACAATAAAGTTCATTAGTAGGTTTTGGTTTATTCATTTCCAGTTCCAGTATTCCTACCACTTCCAAGATTACTCTCAAATCATCCTGATAGAAGCTTCAGGCTAAAAAAGTCTTTGTTTTTAGTTGTTTGCATTTATCTCCCAGAAGGCTGTTAATATCCACTGATAGGTTTCCTTGGTCATCTCTGCAAAGGCATTCAATCTTGATTTTTATTAGTTCTTAGTTGTTTCTTCTCAGAAACAACTTTTCTACCTTTCTCTGTATTGAAAATATAATGCATTAAAGAAGCTCTGCTGTATCATAAGAAATAACTCTAATCCCAAGTAAAAGCTTCTGTGACCTATTGCGTTAATAAAACTGGTATTTTATAGACATAAAGAATATAAGACTTGTTTTTTTGTGGATAGTTTTTGTTTAGTTTTGGAGATGGAGTTTCGCTCTAGTTGCCTAGGCTGGAGTGCGATGGCATGATCTCTGCTCACTGCATCCTCTGCCCCCTCGACGTGATTATCCTGCCTCAAGTGATTCTCCTGCCTCAGCCTCCCGAGTAGATGAGATTATGGGCACCTGCCACCATGCCCAGCTAATTTTTGTATTTTAGTAGAGACAGGGTTTACCATGTTGGTCAGCCTGGTCTCGAACTCCTGACCTCAAGTTATCCACCCACCTTGGCTTCCCAAAGTGCTGGGATTTCAGGCGTGAGCCACTGTGCCCAGCCTGGATAGGAGTTTTGTAAGATACTTAATGTATTCTGCTAGATGGACTGAATGTGTGTAATTTTTTTTTTTTTCAGTTAAACCATTTTTTTTAGTTCATTTGATTTAGGTTCTTCAGCAAGGGATCTAAATGTCTTATCCTTGATGGAATTTAAAAATTAGGTTAATCACTTTCTGAGAACAAGTTTTAATATTAACAATGTTGACAGAAACAGGAAGACCTGTGTTTTACATTATTTAAAACTCCTTTGTAAGAGCATTTCTTTAAAATAATACTTACGTTTAGTAAACCTCATGAATGTGGAATTAATTTCCAAGAAGCTAAATTGCCCAAAAAAGTGTAGTTTTATTTTTAAGTAGTAAATTTAAATGTACATATCACTTTCATTAAATTGCATTTAATATACCAATTTAAATAAAATAGCATTTTTGATTCTTAAGTTTAATGGGATTGGGCATTAATAAAAAGTCATTATTTACAGCATTGAAATCTTTTGGGATGAATAGATATAGGCATTTTTTTTTCTTCTCAGGTATATTCAAGAGCAAATGACCAAGAGCCATGTGGGTGGTGGTTGGCTAAAGTTCGGATGATGAAAGGAGAAGTAAGTAATCTTCACACTTGCTTTGTGACTAGTTTCTAAGGAATTACCTCAGTGTTTGGTTTTTGTAAATGTTATTTCAACTGTTAGTTTTATTTCTGAAAGCCTACCTGAGAAATAGTTGATCACATTTCCATTAGCATTTATTTCTGTTTGTGTTCTGTATTGGCAAACACCAAAGCTGCTCTCCAGAGGTACACCTCAAGCATGTAAGGACCACCAAGGTTCATGCTTGTAAGAACCTATAATCTAGTTTAGGCAAATCAGATTGATGTAGCTAAGCTGTGCTTAGTGTTTATGCCACATGGGGGAGGGTCCATTGGTTAAGCTGAGCAAGGTAATTAGAACTTCATTTAAACTTCATTATTTTTGTTCAGATGGGATTTTTAAAGTATTTTGATGTCTTTTAGTTTTATGTCATTGAATATGCTGCTTGTGACGCTACTTACAATGAAATAGTCACATTCGAACGACTTCGGCCTGTCAATCAAAATAAAACTGTCAAAAAAAATACCTTCTTTAAATGCACAGTGGATGTTCCTGAGGATTTGAGAGAGGCGTGAGTAATTTTATTTACTTTTGAATTGTTCTGTGAATTAAGAAGTTTTTCAGTCCTACAAAACATTTTCCCTAATGCCCAATCAAAACCTTGTGATGGAAGATCATCTTAATGAACACAGGTTTTAGTGGAGGATGTCAAAATGAAACACTGACTTTGTATTATAACTTCTCTGTATTTAATCTATTATTGAGGTCTTACACATGAATTAATTTCTCTCTAGGTGTGCTAATGAAAATGCACATAAAGATTTTAAGAAAGCAGTAGGAGCATGCAGAATTTTTTACCATCCAGAAACAACACAGCTGATGATACTGGTAAGATAATACCATATTATAAGGTAGCTTATTAATGGGTATTGCACAGATTTTATAATTAGATATTTCAAAAGAGAAAAGCTAAGGTCAACTTAGTGTATAGTGAATTTATTAATATAGTGTGGGAGAAAAATTTTGCAGCTATAAAATGTTAATTACATTCTTAACATCATAAAATTCTTATGTTTGAGATCCTGGATTTTTCCCAAATCAAGCATATTCTGAATAGCAGATCTAAATAATACAGGAATTCAGAAAGGAAAGTGTGATTACTCAGAGTAGTGTTAGATGAAAGAAGTGTAGTAGATGAGAAGCAAGGAAGGCTTTGTGTAGAAGATGTTGTTTGTGCTATTTGGAAGAATGATTAAAGTTTTGAGTAATTAGCTTGTTTGTTTATAGTCTGCCAGTGAAGCAACTGTGAAGAGAGTAAACATCCTAAGTGACATGCATTTGCGAAGTATTCGTACGAAGTTGATGCTTATGTCCAGAAACGAAGAGGCCACTAAGCATTTAGAAGTAAGTGGGTTTACTTACAAAAGAGTTTTCTGTGTCCCATTTAGTTTTTGTTTGTTTTTGGAGACAGATTCTGGCTCTGCTGCCCAGGCTGGAGTGTAGTGGTGCAATCTTGGCTTACTGCAACCTCTGCCTCCCAGGTTCAAGCGGTTCTGCTGCCTCAGCCGCCGTGTAGCTGGGATTGCAAGTGTGCCCCACCAAATCCAGCTAAGTTTTGTGTTTTAGTAGAGATCGGGTTTTGCCATGTTGGCCAGGCTGGTCTCGAACTCCTGGTCTCAAGTGGTTGCCTGCCTCAGCTTTTCAAAGTGCTGGGATTACAGGCATGAGCCACCGAGCCTGGCCCCCATTTAGTTTTATATTTTATATTTTTCAAGTTCTTTGCTTCAAATGAAGGCAGCCTAGGACCTCTGTTTCGTAACTATTTGGAGTTGTGTCTGTAGAAGAATTGCTTTTCCATTTTACCTTGTATCAAACATAGCCTTTCCTTTGCTAAATGCCTGTTGACTTGTTGATAGGACTTACATGACAGGTGCCAAAGAGCGAAGAAACTAGAGATATTCAGTAGACTGTATTGCTAGTTCTTTACTTTGTATTTAACCTTTTTATTTTTTTTGACTGCCTTGTCGTCTGTCAGTCATGATACCTTTCATCAGTAACTAGTTCACTGTAACAACTCTTGTGTGAGAGGAGAGGAGGACTAGGAGTGGGGTATCATGTGACATGTAGTATTAAAATATGAAGCTTATCATTATATCTCTGTCTTATCCTAAGGTACTCTGTTGTGTCCTGTTCTTCTCTGCTACACTGTTAGGATACTTGTTCTTCCACTCACTCACACTTTCTAGATCTGGATGAACACATATGCATGCACACATTGTGTTGTCTTAGAGAAATTGAGATGTGTTTATTATCCTTAGGACAAATTTGGAAGTGTTCTCATTAATTTAAAAGTTCTGAACAAAGGATATGTGAACAAATCTGTCTGTATCTGGAAAAGTGTTTTAGCCTAATAGACGAATAAAACAATTTCTTTTCCCCATTCATTTTATGACATTAGATGAGTTTCCTTTATTAAGAGACTGCGTTTTTTTTTTTTTTTTCTTTATGTGGGTTTTCAGTACTTTTTTCTTCTCGTGTTTTTCTTTACACTGTGGTAAAGTGCGTATGAAACTTAGCATCTTAACCATTTTTAAGTGTACACTTAGTATTAAGTATGTTTACATTATTGATCAATCTTCAGGGCTTCTCATATTGTAAAACTGAAAATCTGTACTCTTTAGACAGCTGCTCATTTTCCCCTTTCCCCAGCCCCTGGCAACCATCATTCTGTTTTCTGTTGCTATAAATTTGACTATTTTAGACACCTCACGTAAGTAAAATCATTTTAGTCTTTTTTGTGTCTGGCGTATTTTACTTAGCATCAAGGTTCATCTGTGTAGCATGTGTCAGAATTTCCTTTTTAAGGCATAATGTATATACCACATTGTGTTCATTCCTTCATTGATCTGTGGATTTGGGTTGCTTTCACCTCTTGACTGTCGTAAATAATGCTACGAACGTGGATGTTGCAATAAAACATTTTGTGGCCACATGTGGTGGCTCATGCCTATAATCCCATCACTTTGGGAGGCTGAAGTGGGAGGATTGCTTTAGCCCAAGAGTTCGAGACCAGCCTGGGTAACATAGTGAGAGCTCGTCTCTTCAAAAAATAAAAAAATAAAAAATTAACTGGGCTCAGTGGTATGTGCCTGTATTTCCAACTATTCAGGAGGCTGAAATGGAACGATTGCTTGAGCCCAGGAGATGGAGGTGGCAGTGAGCCATGATCATGCCACTGCACGCTAGCCTTGGTGACAGAGTGAGACCCTGTCTGAAAAAAAACCATACAAAAAAGCCATTTTGTATTTTGATCTTTTATAATACTAATTTTCCTTTTTTATTAGTGCACAAAACAACTTGCAGCAGCTTTTCATGAGGAATTTGTTGTGAGAGAAGATTTAATGGGCCTGGCAATAGGAACACATGGTAGTAACATTCAGCAAGCTAGGAAGGTTCCTGGAGTTACCGCCATTGAGCTAGATGAAGATACTGGAACATTTAGAATCTACGGAGAGGTAAGTTCTCTTTCTCCTGCCTTGGCCTTTACTATAATGTATTAACCATCTATTGTTTGATTATATTTTTATCTGAAATTCCAGTTTCCCAGTGAAACATTTTTGAGGTAGAATTTATTCAGTTAGCATCAGTCAGTCTAGTAGTCATTACTTACGCAGCTGAATTGAAGTTAACTTTGTATTGAGGGGAGTGAAAGATTTACTAAGTAATTAAATATGTAGTTTTTTAAATTGAAGTTTCTTAACTGCTTCGGAATTTACTTCAGTTTTATACCCATAACAAATAATCTATCCAACTGTTTTTTTTTTTTTTGGAATGTTTACTGTGTGCCAGGCACTGGCAGGAGTAAATGGCATATATTAGAATAGCTTTTCTAGAACTCGAATTTGTATAATGCTTCGTCACTGGTTAATCATGACGTTTGCAGGGGTAGAAAATTAGTAAGTTATTTTTAAAAAGTTATTCAGCCAGGTACAGTGGCACACGTTTGCATTCCCAGCTACTTGGGAATCTGAGGCAGGAGGATTGCTTGAGTCCATGAGTTTGAATCCAGCCAGAGCAACGTAGAGTTTAAAAATATATATATAAATTTATATATATACATATACATGCACTTTATCTGTATTTTTATATATGTAAATTGAGACCATCCTTCAAATTTGAGTAACTGGATTTTTTTTTTTTTTTAAAGAAACAAGGTTTTGCCATGTTGCACAGGCTGGTCTGGAACTCCTGAGCTCAAGCACTCCCCCTGCCTCAGCCTCCCAAAGTGCCGGGACTGTAGGCATGAGCCACTATGCCTGGCCTGGAGTTTTTTTTGAATGACAATTTTGTGTCTTGACTTTTCATACATAGCTGTTATGAACAGCTTCTTTCACATAGTAAAGCTGACTAGAGGCTTTACTTTTAATTTCGAAACCTTTAAAAGTAGACAGTATAACATAGTAATTAAGGCAGCCAAGCACTGTGGCTCATGTCTGTAACCCCAGCAATTTTGGACGCTGAAGCAGGAAGATCACTTGAGCCCAGGACTGAGAGGCTGCAGTGAGCTGTGATCATCATTGTCCTCTAGCCTGAGTGACAGAGCAAAGTTCTGTCTTGTTGAGAAGGAGGAGGAGAAAAAAAAAAGATGGGCTTTGGAGCTATACTGCCTGGGTTGGAATTCACTTTAAGTAGGCCACTTTGAGTAGGCTTGGAGTTTGTTACTTTGCTTCCTTGTATAAGTGTTCTCATTATAAAATAATAATAGTGCTTACCTTAATATAGTTCTTAAAGATTGCATACATTATACAAAATGTTGATTGCATATGGTATATCACATAGTGTGCACACAATAATTTGAGCTATGGTTTTAAAATTAAAAAAATTATTTGCTTTTTTTATTTTTTTAGAGACAGGATCTACTCTCTTGCTCAGGCTGGAGTGCAGTGGCGTGATCATAGCTCACTGCAGCCTCAGACTCCTGGGCTCACGCCATCCTCTGGCCTCAGCCTCTTGAGTGGCTAGGACTATAGGCATGTACTGCCATGCTGGGCTAATTTAAATATGTATCTATATATTTTGTAGAGAGAGAGGTTTCCTATGTTGCCCAGAGTAGTGTTAAACTCTTGGCCTTAAATGATCCTCCTACATTTGCCTCCCAAACAAAGTGCTGGGATTATAGGTGTGAGCCCACTGCATCTGGCCTTATCTGTGGTTATTAAAGAACAAACGTTAAAAATGAAAATGACTTAATTGAGAAGTAGAAAGTCCATGTAGAGACTCACTCCCAAACCTCTAGTCGTTTAAAATTGTACTCATTAGAAATTAGGAATTTTGATAATCTTACCAGTGGGTGCTTTTAAAAAATGCTTATCTGCAAAAATAGTTTTTTAAGTCATATACCTGATTTTGAGAATAAATAAAATAATTCAGACAATTTGAACAATTTGTATTGTTAACATGAGAATTTCAACCTGGGAGTATAGACTAGTATATTTAGGATTGGGTTAAAGTTTTGGCTGTTCAGCAGCTGTGTAATTTAAACTCTGACGCTAAATTTCTCAGCAGCTTAAAGATTTTAGAGATGTTATTTTTGGTTTTAATAGTACTGACTGATTTGGGATTTTTAAAAATGATTTTTTTCTTAAGTACTTTGTGAATCACTTCACCTGAAATCTCTCACCAGTGGAATGAGCTTAATCTTTTAGTAGAATATAATCATTCAGAATTTTCTCTTTTCTCATCTTTTTGTTTTGGATTATGGGTTGCTTCAAGATTGAAACAGGATTTCATTTTTACTTTTCCCCTCATCTACAGAGTGCTGATGCTGTAAAAAAGGCTAGAGGTTTCTTGGAATTTGTGGAGGATTTTATTCAGGTTCCTAGGAATCTCGTTGGTAGGTACTTTTACTAAATGTTAAATAAGTTAAACATTAGTTACATATAGCGACTTAACTGAAAACTGGTCTTGTAGTCTGATAACCTTATTCCAGTTTTGTGTAGATTTATTTAGATAGCAATAATTCTTTTTTTTGGTGATAACATTTTGTGTAACTTGTTATTGTCATATGTTAAAAAGTAAAGATGTTTCTTCTGTACAAGATGACCCACTAATAAGGCCCAGGGTTTTTATAACAGTTTGTCATTACAGTTTTTCATCAGCCTTCTCATCCCTTGGGATCTTTCCTATTCTCACTCCTTTACTCTCTTTTTATCATTGATATATATTCATCAAAATTATGATAGTACTTTTTGAGAAGGTATTTGTGGTATTTGTTTTGTTTAGTGTGGAAGAAAAGTAACAGTGAACTAACAATAGGGTAATAAACTTCTACACAGTAGGTCCTGAATAGTAGGTTGTCACAAGGTATAGAATAATAAGGTAAGAACTTGTGGGCAGGAGAGAAGGATGATAATATGAGGGGTGGTTTCACTATTAATTATTTGACACCATTGTTGAAACTGTTGTACCCATGGATTATAGTTAAGTGACAAGAATTTGCATTTGAAGTTATGGTTAAATGAGCATTATAGGTTGGAGTGAGTTCATTTATAACTCTGTTATTAATATGCCCTATATCTGTGCGGTTTGTCTTTTTGCTATTTGAGGCAATTGGGAAGGCTTTGGTTATGTGCTAAGTACACAGTGACTATACTAAAAATTGACTCTCTAAACATTTAATATAAAAAGAAGCATCAAGATAATGTAGTGAAGTTTACTAGAAGGGGGATGAGTTTTTGTTGCCTATTATCTCTCATTATTTTTTTTTGACGCTAAGGAAATACTTTCAGCTTCTTGGGTTCCATTTATAGAATGTGGCTTTTTCTGCCTTCAGGAAATGATGTTTAGCCACAGGTGTTCTATTTGTTAAATTGTGTAAAACAAACATTAATAGAAAAATTTAAAAAAGAACTTCCATTCTAAAAAGATTTTTTTTTTGGCCATTAATAAGTAGTATATTCAGGAAAAGTAGTTTAAAACACAGAAATTTGTGTCTTGGAATTTAACTGTTAGTATTTATGAAAAAAGCTTTTTTTTTTTTTTTTTTTTTTTTTCCTGAGATGGAGTCTTGCTTTGTCACCCAGGCTGGAGTGCAGTTGCAGTGACGCCCTCTTGGCTCACTGCAACCTCTGCCTCCTGGGTTCAAGCGATTCTCCTGCCTCAGCCTCCCGAGTAGCTGGGACTGTAGGTGCCTGCCACCACTCGTGGCTAATTTTTGTATTTTTAGTAGAGATGTGGTTTCACCATATTGGCCAGGCTGGTCTTGAACTGCTGCTCCTGATCTTGTGATCCACCCAACTCAGCCTCCCAAAGTGCTGGGATTACAGGCATGATCCACCGCGCCCAGGTGTAAAAAGCCTCTCAGTTCTGCTCAAACATTTGGATAGGTATGACATTACTGCCAGTTGTGTAAGCTCTACTTTATTAGTTCTTGGTATACCATTGTTCACTATAGACTGAACTGCTGGAAAGAGGAGATGTTAAAATTTAATATAAACTTGAAGAATGTTGTATAATTATACATAGGTAAGGTGCACAATGTTATCAAATGTTTATCAGTATGAAATGAAATCACCTTTGATAAGCTGCTTTTGAAAAGGATGCCCTTTTAAAAAATCGTAATTATTGACATCTGTCAATACTAACATTGTGGTAGCTGCTGTACAGAGTGTAACTTTAACTTAACTAAGGTTTCCTCACTTGTAAAAATGATTTGGCAATGGGTTTGTGAAAGGGAACCAGGTTTCTTTTCAATCCAAGTCTATCCGTTATAAAAGATAGCCTTGGTCTTAGAGAGTTGTAGTAGGTGTTGTGAGTAAAAGTTTCTGATATTTCAAAAATAAGAAAATTGGGTATATTTGTAGTTCTCTGTTCTCTTTATTCAGTGAAGTGGTGAGTACCTGTTGTCTCTTTTCCTGTATCCTGTCTATGTTGGCTTTGGTGATGCGGGTTGTGTGCTGTTTAGGAAATACACAATAGCAGTAACTATTACACATTGGTGAGATACTCAGGAACTTAGTACAAGAATTTCTGTTGGTTGTCATGTGTAAAAGTACAATGTTTCCCTCCATAATGTTTTATGGATGAAGCAGTCTTTTGAAAAATAGTATGTTTTTAGTCCAAATGAAAGAAAAAGAGAACTGAGGAATAAAAGGGAATGAGAAAACTTGGTCGGTAAGTTCCAAAGAGGATTACCTTATACATTCATGTTCTGAGAGTTCTAAGACGACCATTCCCACCCCTCCCAAATCAAAGGGAAAAATACCTGAACATTGGTTTGAAAATGGTTCAAAACCTTTCACCTCCAGAAGCCTTCCTTAATCACTTCTCTCTGTCCCTTCAGCATTTATATTCAGTGCTCAATTTATACTGCAGGTCTGCTTCAGTTTGTCAATATGGTCTGGAATTTAAACTATGGAAATGATCATATAAAATATTGACGGTCTCTGGTGGGACTAAATAAAACTTGCAGGTAGGTTCCTGCCAAGGACCCCAGAAAGGTGATGGATGATCACTCAAAACTGGTATAGTTCACAAGAAGGAAGTGGCAAAAGTTCTGGGGGAGGAATATGGTATATCAACCTAATCTTTGTTTTTCGAAAGACATTTGCTTGTTTTTAGCAGGGTCAAGGATGGAGTTGCTGCTTGAGCTTCACTGTGTTAACAATGAAGGTTGCTTTTATGTGCTGCTGCTAGGGCTGCTCAGAGAAGATACACGTCATTTGAATTCCCTGCCCTACTTTTTTTTTTTTTTTTAACCTGTTCAATTGCTACTGCTTTTAAATTTAGGGTTATTAATGGGGAAGGAGGCTTGAGAGTAGGAATACAAGAGAGAAAAACCCATTATAGTCCTTTTATTGTATTGACCAGTCTACTGTTGTCATTGTTCTTATTCATTCTTTAATGGAAACTGTTCAGGCATGCAACAGGAAAATCTGTCATTTTAACCCCTTCAAGGTTTAAGTTTTTGTGAAAAGTGATTTATTTAAAAAATTGAGGATGTGGACTTGATAACAATTATGCTGTTGCTGTTCATTAAGGGGTACATCTGTTCCATATGGTGAAAGTTACTTGAATAGTACTTGTTAATAGGTACACAACTCAGTGTTGCTTTGTTATTTATGTGAGTATATGCTGATCTTTAGATAGTCCTTTAGGGAAAGAGAGCCTTTTGATCCCTTTGTTAATATACTCAATAGACAGACTTGTAAGTGTAGAAAAGTTAAATATTTGAATTTTATGTCATTTTACAGTATTTTATACTTAGCAAGACAGCATATCATGTGCATGCTTTATGTTATTTTTTATATAGCTGTGAAGTACTTGAAAAACTTCTTGGTGTAAAATATAATACATGTAAATATTCATTCTAAAGTTATCTTCAAGTCATAGAAATCTCTTTTACAGCTAGAAACTTGAAAATAAAAGCAAGATTGGTGAATTTGTTAATTAATAAAGTGATAATGATTAATGCCAAATTAAAATAGTTTTCTCTTTGCCTTTATGTATATATCCAAGGTTTTGAAATGGGTTGGATGTTCAAAAAATATGAAAATGATATAAGCATATTTTAAAAGTCTAGATTTTGAAAATTTCTTACATGTGAGCACTGTTTGTCAGTCCCAGTTAGTAACCTTAGGCATGCTGAAAGAGGAGTAAGTTTCAGACCAAGGGTAAAATTTTTTGGTAGTCTATAAGGTGAGTTAATTGAAAGTAAAAAGATGGGAGCTTCACTTGATGGTTATAATTTAGTAGCAAGTTACAAATAATTTGGGGCTGACACTGAAAGAATAGCAGAATTGATTTTTAGCTTACCATTATATTTGTTTTCTCTTACTAAAGGAAAAGTAATTGGAAAAAATGGCAAAGTTATTCAAGAAATAGTGGACAAATCTGGTGTGGTTCGAGTAAGAATTGAAGGGGACAATGAAAATAAATTACCCAGAGAAGACGTAAGTATTTAAAATGTAATTTCTTTCTCTCTTTAAAATGTCCTTTTTTTTTGGCCAACTTAATAGTTGTAAACATTTTGTCTGCTTTATCTGATACAGAGGGTTTTTCTTTCTTTTTTAAAAATTACGTTTTTATAACAATATTTCATACACTTAAAAAACAAGTCATTTTCTACTGTGTGGGCCTTGTTCTTAGTTGTTTTGATAGTACTTCAGTAAAAAAGTCAGTTTTGATATAAGGATTTCTATTTGATAATCTTAACAGTTACTTTTCATACATAGAGTGTAAAGCTATAGAACTTGATACTCCCAAAGAGTTTTTTTTTTTTTTTAATTTCAATAGTTTTTGGGGTACAGGTGGTTTTTGGTTACATGGTGAAGGTTCTTCAGTGGCGATTTCTGAGATTTTAGTGCACCTATCACCTGAGCACTGTACACTGTATCCAATATGTAGTCTTTTATCCCTCATCCCCCTCGCAAACTTCCTCCCCGCTGAGTCCCCAGAGTCCATTATAGCATTCTTTTGCCTTTGCATCCTCATAGCTAAGCTCCCACTTAGAAGTGAGAACATACGATATTTGGTTTTCCATTCCTGCGTAACTTCACTTAGAATAATGGCCTCCATCCAAGTTGCTGCAAAAGACGTTATTTCGTTCCTTTTTATGGCTGAGTAATATTCCATGGTGTATATATACCACAGTTTTTTTGTATCCACTCATTGGTTGATGGGCACTTAGGTTGGTTCCATATCTTTGCCATTGTAAACTGTGCTGACAAAGGAATTGTTGATTGTACTCTCCTTAACTATTTTATACAATCTGAAAGTATTGACTGTTTCTTAATTGAAATCATTTTATGCTTTTACATTGCTGTAGAATCTGAAAGTATTAACCATTTCTTTTTTCTTTTTCTTTTTTTTTTTTTTTTTTTTTTTTTTTTTTTTTTGTGGAGACAGAGTCTCACTCTGTCACCAGGCTGGAGTGCAGTGGCACATTCTTGGCTTACTGCAACCTCTGCCTCTCTGGTTCAATCGATTCTCCTGCTTCAGCTTCCTGAGTAGCTGAGACTGCAGGTGTGCACCACCACCCCCAGTTAATTTTTGCACTTTTAGTAGAGATGGGGTTTCACCAGGTTGGCCAGGATGGTCTCAATCTTTTGACCTTGTGATCCGCCTGCCTCCGCCTCCCAAAGTGCTGGGATTATGGGCATGAGCCACCGTGCCCGGCCTTGACCATTTCTTAATTGAAATCCCATTATGCTTTTACGTTGCTATAGAATCTGAAAGTATTGACTATTTCTTAATTGAAATCCCCTTATGCTTTTATGTTGCTATTTTGGTCGTAGCTTTCTAAAATTTTTTGTCTTCTTTCTTCCCACATGTTGATATTTTGTCCCTAATTTTGTTCTTTGCTCCTTTTACATCATTTTAAGGATCTCACATTGATGGCTTTAGTGATCAACTCTATATACTTAAGCTTTGTGTTCCTGAATATAAGACAAGGATTTTTCACAAAATTATCTCTCAGAAAGCAGTACACTCACAACTTCTTGAGCTTTGCACAATAGAGTATTGTATGGGGAGTTTGTTAACCTGTTGGATAGAGGATCAGTCTTTTAAAAAAAAGAGAAGACTATATATTTAGCCCAGCCAAGTATTTAGTGTTGTAAAGATGTCAAAGATAGCTACTTTCTTTATTCCTTTTAATTAGAATGTGGAGGTGAATATACTAAGAATGAATGAGGAAAACAAATATTTAGGTATCATACAGATGAATACTTGTCTCTTGGAATGCTACTTTCAGTGATTTCATTCTACACTGCTTTAAAAAGTGCAAATCTTGCATAACTTATTCTTCATAAGTACTCCTGCCCCATTTTGCATTATTTTAAGATGGCTTAGATAAGGATTAAAACTGATGGTCTTATGCCATTATTATTGTCATCATTGTTTTCGTTAATGCTTAGTATAACTAATGGTAAGATGAATGGTGAACCATTTGGCATACAACCAGTGCCTAACAATTGGTCTGAAAAATCATAATATTTATTGGCCAGGGCCATTAAATTGGTCAACTATGAATTTCTAAGCTGGATATTAATGTCTTCTCTTAGCTTGATTTATTCCCAGTTGCTTTTCGGTATTTACTGTTTTGTAGTAAGTGTACTCTTCTCGGTTTCCTTCATAAGTAAGAATCTACTGTACTTTCTTGTGTTTGTAGTTTTAGCTATTGTTACTGTCATTTCTATGCCAGGGTTAAGAGACGTAAATGCTTACAGAGGCCAAGCAGTTATGTGATTAGGCAAGTTGGAATGTATAAGATAGGGATGGAAAGGACAGTGCCTTTCTTAATGGGGAATGCATGCCTTATTTGTTGCTGCAGTGATATTTTTTGAGAAGCAGGAAACCTATAATATACAGAATTTTTCAGTTTTCAAAATCATGCTAAAATAAATCTGAAGGTTGGTATTGGCTTATTGGGGGCCACCATGTCACAATTTAAGTTGGAGACTCAGTCTATAACTTGTTTACTCTGAAGACTATGGTGATCTCTCCCTAGCCTGAGATGACCTTTCCTGCATGTGTACTATAGCAATTATTGTCTTTATGATTGGGTTTTTAATGATAGTCTTTCAGTCTTACTTATGTTTTGTTTTCTGGTATATGTCTCCAAACCAGTTATGAACTCCTTGAAATCAGGAAATCAAACCTGAACTTCCATATTCTCCATTCTCTGCTATGACTATGAATTGAATAGAATGGGCACTTGATAAATATTTTAAGACATTCAAACTTAAAAAAACTAAGTTTGAGTTTTTAATTATTAAAGTTTACATAAAGGTTAGAATAATACAGATGGGTATAATATCAGAAATAAATGTGTATCTGTGCCTTGTACATGTCTCTCCTTTCCTCTCCATGCCTACTAGGCTTTAACCTGTTTAAACTACCTTTGTATGCTTTTATTTTGCATTAAAAACAATGCTGCAGTCAACATCCCCTGTGACTCTTTGCCAACTGTAACTGGAGAGGAAATTCCTCAAAGTGGATGTGATAGATCAAAGGTTTTATAGTATTTAAATTTTTAGAGCTTGATAATTACTTTCTCACACGTCACCACCACCAGTGTAGGAAATAGGTCTGTTTTCCACATATTCACCAATACTAGGTTTTATTAAATTTTAGTTAATACCGTTACAGTAAGCGTACACTTTATCTTTCTATATGTTTAAAAGACATTTTTTTATTTTTCTGTAACCACCTTTTTGTCCTTTATGTATTTTTTGTCTTTAGTATCAGTGGGTGATAAGACCATTGCTTGTTTCTTTTGACTTGATTTCTTTTTATCCTGAGCAGGCATTTTAAAATTTTTATATAGTTGGATTTTTTAGGCTTTTGCTTTATGACTGGATTTTCTGTCATGCTTGGCAAGGTCTTTCCTGTTCCTAGATCAGAGATCTTAATCTCCACTTGTTTTTGTTGTTGATGGTTTTTAGTGCATAAACTTTTTGCTCCAGTTTGTTGTAAGGTGTCAGGAACAGGGATTCAGATTTTTCTTAGTGCTAAGTGATTATCTCAGTGTTACCTATTACATATAAATAATCAGTTTTTAGTATTTAAAAAAAAAACTTGTAAGTTTCTCCAAAATAACTTAGAAAAATGAACTAATATTCAGTAGTAATCATTTACTCTTTAAAGTTTACCATTCCTTTTCTTTGATAGTAACTAAAGGTGATAACATTTCCTATTCAAGGTCAAGGCATTGTATTTTCTCTTACTCCCTGAAGGTCATCTGTCTGGAATGACTTTATGTATTTGACAAAATTTTATTTATTTTTAACATTTGTTTTACATAACAATATTCTTTCTTATTCCCTTAACTTTTCACACCTGGAGTGGCATAATTCACTTTCTCCTTAAAATTCCTGTTTTTTGGTCATATCATTAATGCTGTACAATGAATTTTTTATGAGAATTTTTTTTTTTTTTTTTCTGAGATTTTTGATTATCTTTAGAACAGAAACTTTATTCTTACACCTTAGTAGAAGATCCTGGCAGTTAACAAATAGATGTTATTTGGAATTGGGTAACTAGATGAAATTGACTGGCTCAATTGCTAATTTTATGACTTCAGCAAGTTTTTTTTTTTTTTTTTTTTGAGACGGAGTCTGGCTCTGTCGTCCAGGCTGGAGTGCAGTGGCCAGATCTCAGCTCACTGCAAGCTCTGCCTCCCGGGTTCACGCCATTCTCCTGCCTCAGCCTCCCAAGTAGCTGGGACTATAGGCGCCCACCACCTCGCCCGGCGATTTTTTTTTAAATTTTTTAGTAGAGACGGGGTTTCACCGTGTTAGCCAGGATGGTCTCAATGTCCTGACCTCATGATCCGCCCGTCTCGGCCTCCCAAAGTGCTGGGATTACAGGCTTGAGCCACTGTGCCTGGCTGACTTCAGCAAGTTATTTTGTTAACCGTAAAACTGGGATATTATTTCTTAGTTAATTTTTAAAAGCATGAAATAAAATACATGAAATGCATAATACAGACCTGAAAACAGGCTATATGTTTAAGATTTTTTTTAGGTCCTTGCCATCCCACCCCCTTTTTTATTCACTTTGAATGCCCTTTTATCTGCTTGTGAACTCCTGAGGTCAGTGTTAAGACTTCCCTACTCCCTAATCTTAAATTAGTTTCCCTTGTTTCACACTTTCATAGTTGAAATGACTTCTTCACAGCCACTGCGAACCTCTAATAGCTGTGCTGTATCCCTAGCACGTGCCCTGTTGCCTAAGTTTTAAATCAACTGTATCTAAAAATCATTACTCTTAAAAATTACTTTGAAAATAATTGAGTCATATATAGAACTAAAATGTCTTAAGCCATGCCTAGTTTCATATTTAGAACCAAAAATCCCTAAGCCATTCTGTTTAAGTAACTGTTAGAAACTATCCTGTAAAATGAAGAAAATGAAAGACATGGAAACTGATTGGGAGAGTTAAGCTTTATTCTCATTTTTCTTAGCCATTAAGAAGCTGGAAGTATGTTTCTTTAAAGAAGAAACATTCACAGTGTGCCATCTTATTTCTCTTTTCTGCCACTTTTTAAAAACCTTCTTATTATTCAGAAATTCAGCAAAGTAAACCAAGTCTGACCTAATACTTTGATTTACCTCTACATATCTTAATAATTCCTTTAATTTTACATTGTGTAAATATTTATGCTCTGGAGGTGATATTTCTTTTAGTGGTCAGGAAGTACCTCTTGTAGTACACAGACACTTAAGATTTTGTTACCTGAGCACATACTGTAGGGATAAGTGGGCTAATGTGCTTTATTATGCTTTAAAGCTATACCTACTGAGATGATATATCTAGCCTGTAAGTTTATAGCCAGTTTGAAGGAAAATTGTTTATTTTTGTTTTTGGAGACAGAGCCTTGCTGTGTTGTCCAGGCTGGAGGGCAGTGGCACAGTCTTGGCTCACTGCAATCTCTGTCTCCCAGGCTCAAGCTGTCTTCCTACCTCAGCCTCCCAAGTAGCTGGGACTACAGGCATGTGCTGCCGTGCCAGCTGATTTTTGTATATTTTGTGGAGACGTGGTTTGTCCATGTTGTCCAGGCTGGTCTCGAACTCATGAGCTCAAGTGATCCACCTGCCTCAGCCTCCCAAAGTGCTAGGATTATAGGTGTGAGTCACCATGACCTGCCAGAAAATCATTTTAACTTTAAAAGTGGATTTATATACTTGGAAAATTAAATTGGTTATAAATCAGAAAATTTGGTATAAACTGATTTTTAAAAATGATTTTTAAAGTGTTTAGCACACAGAACACAATTTACAACAGTAAATTGGGGTGCAAATCTGACAAGTGATTGAAAATCTGAGTATTTCAACTTATATGGATTTTAGCATTTTTTCCCCCTTAAATCTTGAAGTTTAGTACATGTAAATTGCTGCGTGTTTCAGAAGAGTTTTCCTAATTGTATATTGGGGCTGGGTACAGTGGCTCATGCCTGTAACCCCTTTGGGAAGTCAGTAATCCCAGCACTTTGGGAAGCCAAGGCAGGAGGATCGCCTGAGGCAAGGAGTTGGGCAGCAGAGCAAGACCCTGTCTCTACAAAAAATAAAAAATAATGACTGGTTGTGGTGACACGCATCTGTAGTCTCAGCTGCTCTGGAGGCTGAGACAGGAGAATCACTTGAGCCCAGGAGTTTGATACTGCAGTGAGCTGTGATTGCACCACTGCACTGTAGCCTGGGCAACAGAGCTGATGTCATCTCAGAAAAAAAAAAGGTAGGGGTGGGTGTGTGTGTGTGTGTGTGTGTGTGTGCCTGCCTGCCTGCCTGTCAATTTCATGTCACTTTCAGACTAGAACTTTGTTAAAATATTAAACACTGAAGACCTTTTTTTTTTTTTTTTTTTTAAACAGGGTATGGTTCCATTTGTATTTGTTGGCACTAAAGAAAGCATTGGAAATGTGCAAGTTCTTTTAGAGTATCATATTGCTTATCTAAAGGTTTGTATATGGTTCATACTATATTCTGATATCGTTGCTGCATTTACTACATAAATGTTGTACATTTGCTACAAATTTTAAATGTCCTCACATTAAACATTTTATATTTGAAGTAAACTTCAAATCTTTAAATATTTTTGTTAATTCAGCTTCAGATTTGCCATTTTTCTACATAAGAATTTAAAAAGTCTTTTGTCATCTTAAAATGATTGGCGTTGTGTGCATAGTTTGTCTTCTCTCTGAGTTTTTATATTTCTTTCTTGTTTAATAAATGATTACTTTCCTTTGTCTTCATGCAGTTTGACTCTCAGATCACTTATCTGTCTGCATGTTCATACTGGAGCCATTTAGTTTTTACTTTTGTACTTTACATACAAATAGGGTACAGAACCAGGAGTGACATTGGGATTCCTTGGTAACTCTGGCATTATGCAAATCATCTGCATCATCTCCATAGACATTATTTGATAATTTGTAACCATTGTTAACAAAATAGTCTATTTGAGTTGATACATAAAGGGCAAGGGTTTTAGAAAAATATGACCCATAAATTATTAAACATTTTAATTTTATTTTCTGCTCTTTCCCTTTTATTCCTGCTGTTTCCCTTTTTAAAGTATAATAATATCCTCACCTGTTCTCTGCCTCTAGTATGTTTTCCTCCCAGTCTGTTGTATCATTGCTGCTGTTACTATTTTGAGATCACTCCGATAATGTCATTTCTTTTCTTTTGAAATTCATCTTTATATGAAAAGTCGCAATTAAAACTGGCATTTTGAAGCCAGTGCTTTATCTTTCAGTACTCATCTTTTAACCAAGAGTTTTCTCTAGACATCTAACCATTGCATCTTGTAATGACCTCAATTTCTGAATGACCAAGTCTAGCAGCCCTTCTAGGTCACAACTCATGTGTCACTACTTTGATAGGAAAGTAGCTTGTTAATAGTACCTTTCATAGATGCTGCCTGTATCTCATTCAGCAGTTCTAACTCCTTGAGGGCAAAATCTGGTAGTATTGTATAATTGTTAGCTATTTAATAAATAACTTATTTTAAAGCTGTTAAACATCCCCTTGATCGGGGAGAGTCCATGTCCTCTTTTATATTGTATGCCTATAGCAGCATGTTCGGCACACTCTAGGCCATTCAGTAAATGTTGAACTGAAACAGCCAATGACCTTATCAATTCTGTTGACTAGGAACACAATGCTCTTTACCATCTGCTTCCCTAAGGTCACAGTTTTGGTAAGGAGTACAGCTCTAGCTCTAGGCTTTAGGAAGACAAAAAGTTATATATAAGAAGACTTACTCGTTTTTGTTTTAATTGTAGGAAGTAGAACAGCTAAGAATGGAACGCCTACAGATTGATGAACAGCTACGACAGATTGGTATGGGTTTCAGACCTTCTTCCACCAGAGGGCCTGAAAAAGAGAAAGGATATGCCACTGATGAAAGTACCGTCTCTTCTGTACAAGGTTCTAGGTCTTATAGTGGAAGAGGCAGAGGTCGTCGGGGCCCTAATTACACCTCCGGTTATGGTAAAAAAACCTTTTTTTTTTGTAGTAGTAATAATAGTAGTTTAGGTGCTCTAACATTTTCTTATAATTAGTTCATTATCTTGGCTTTGAGGGTAGAAGGTAGTTTTGAAGGTTTGGTACATGTCTTAATAGTAGTGATGGTATACGTTAAAATGACAGTAAAATATATAAAATTTCCAGGCAGTTATGTAACGAAGCAAAACATGTTTTTAAGTTGGTAGTTCATTGTCATGTTCATTATATTTACAAAGAATACATGTGTAACTTAAGTTTTTCAAATACTTTGCTAGTACAGTTTTATACATTTCCCAGTAAATACCTAGTAATGGTGGTGATACTTTTAGGAATCATCTTTTGTCTACCCTCTTCAAGTAAAAAATGAAAAGTATGCGAATCACTGCCAAGATTGCATATAGCAAGTCTTTACTAGCTTTTAAAAAATATTTTATTTACTCATTTGGCATATTTGAATATATTAACATCTCACATCTGGAATTACTTTGTTTAACAACATTTCACTAAAATGAAGGCTCTGAAAGCCAGAATCTAATTTAACACTTCATAAATGAACATTTTCTAAAATATATTTCACTGTGAGGATTGGGTATAACCCAGGTAGGAAGGGGACAGTGGAGTGATGATAGTCAACAATTCTCTAATCCTAAATTCTCCCTTATTCTTCTTCAGCTTTGGAGTTGTTCCATTTTTCTACATTTGGACTTGGATCTTAGCAGTGGCCTGATTTGTTTTTTTCCTTCGCCCATTTTCTTTCTCTTTTCCTGTTCTTTTCTTCACTCCTATACTTACTCTCTTTTGAGGAAATACAAAACATTTTCCAAAATGTAAGGCATTTAAGGAATATAGAAATAAATGCAAATTTCCTGCTTAATTGAAGGATCATGTAATGCTGACAAAGTTATATTAAACCTGAACTATCTTCAATTTGTTGTAGAGTTGTAAGTTTGTGTCCCTTCCCTTTAATATCGTATCTTTATGTTCTCATTTTCTTATATATATATTTTTATTTAATGCAGTATTGAAACCTAAATAGCAAAATTCTAATAAAGAAGTATTCAGCATATAAAAGGATGAAAATTGCAAACTGTTGTTATATTCCTGAAAATGTTTAATGCAAAAGACAGTTAACCAGTAATCACATAGAAATTAAATATATTCTCATTGATTTTTGAACCATACATTATTAGCATAGATAATCAGACTTATTGGATGATGAGTATGATGAATTCATTGAGTAATTTTATTAGCTTTTGTGGGAAGTCTGCTTATTGAGAGCTTACTCTGGCAAAATGCTTTTGTTGAGAGTAGATAATTTATGTGAGAGGTAGAGAAACATCATCTGGATTCAAGAAAGCTGTGCAAATTGTTCAGTAGATGGCACTCTTAGCTCTGAATCTTAGCGGAATTAATAACATTTTATTTCTTGAAATAGTTATCAAATCTGAGTGGGCTTGGAAAAGCAAGAAAAACCATTTGAATTTGGTTGTAGATGTTCATGTATACTTTATATGAGCGGGACTTTTAGTTGATTTTATATATATATATATATATATATGTATAAAGTATGAGTTTTATCAGTTTAATAGGAACTGTAAGAAACATTTCCCAGTGTAACATCTCCGAAGTTGGTATGTGCGTTAAATTGGACATCTTACAACTTTAACAGCATTTTCTTTTTTAATGACACATAAAATAATATCTTAAAATTGATGGCCTCTTGGAGTTGATAAAACGTGATTAGTTTTAGCTATTAAGCTTAGCACAGCCTTTGAAAATGATATAAACCATCTTCATAAGGTGATTTTAGAAGTTTGAGGGGGAAAATATGATTTTAAAATTGGTTAAAAACACGATGTCATTATGTTTTGTTACTTTTTTTTTTTTTTTTTTTTTTTGAGACGGAGTTTCGCTCTTGTTGCCCAGGCTGGAGTGCAGTGGTGTGATCTCGGCTCACCGCAACCTCTGCCTCCTGGGTTCAAGTGATTCTCCTGCTTCAGTCTCCTGAGTAGCTGGGATTACAGGCATGCACCACCACGCCCGGCTAATTTTGTATTTTTAGTAGAGACAGGGTTTCTCCATGTTGGTCACGCTGGTCTCAATCTCCCGACCTCAGGTGATCCGCCCACCGTGCCTCCCAAAGTGCTGGGATTACAGGCGTGAGCCACCATGCCTAGCCTGGTGTCGTTACTTTTAAAGCTTGTTTAAAAAGACTTTGAATCCCCAGCTTGTATTTTACAAAATTAAGGGGTTGGAATAAATGGTTTCCCTGATTTCATTAGAGTATTTGTTTTCAATTGCAGTAATAAATTATCACAAATTTAGAGGCTTGAACCACAGAAACTTACTACCTTATAGTTCTGTTGGTCAGAAGGCTGACATGGGTCTCACTGGGCTAAAATCTTGTCAGCTGGGCTACGTTTCTTTCTGGAAGGTCTGGTGGGATTCCCCTTTCGTTAGTTGAGAAAGTTTCTCTACTTTTAAAGACCCAGTGAGATTAGTTTGGACCTACCTGGATTATCCAGGATAGTCTTTCTATCTCAGGGTCCTTAGCCTTAGTCACATTTGCAGGGTCCTTTTTGCTATCACAGAAACATTTCATATGGGTTATTAAGAATTATTTAATATGAATAATGTTTAGCACTAGCCAGTTCATTAAAATTTTGGGGGTTATGGCCTCAATATCTGTTTTACCTACTGAAATCTATGATTTAGACATTCCCTCTAAGTATCTTGAATAGTATATGTAGGTTAAATTTAAGGAAGACTTTACTTGCTGTGACACGGGGTTAGATAAATACTAGTCTGGATTTCTAAGGATACTTCAATAGAAACTTTTGAGAGAGTCTTCAAAATGAAGTATTCTTTATTTGCCCTGAATTTTGGCAATGGTTTCAGATAGGGTATATGTGTGTAAATAAATTCAGAAGTTCTTAAACGTTCTGAAAGGTTTTTTTTTTTTTTCACTATTCAAGAAGAGATAAATTGCCTTCATTGCAACTTTTATGACATCATGTTAATAAAGTGCTTTTTGTCATTTGGTGAAATAAATGTTAGGGGAGATTAATACCCTTCCCCGAGATTCTAATCCCAACAAAGAATTGAAAGTGAATAATAGAAATTTGATGTATTCTTTGAAAATACACATATCCAACTAATTACCTAATTGTTTTTATAATTGACTAGTTACATCTATTGTTAACAACATGTGGAGAAAAGGTAGGCATCCTAGAGTTACCTTTAAAGGAGAAAGGAAGTGAGTAGGCACCTTCATGTATAAAACTTCATATACATATATACATATACCTTCATGTATAAAACTTTACATTTTATTCCCTGCACCTTAATACTTAAAACTTTTTATGTCTGAAGAGCTCATTTTTCCTCAAATGATTGCAGAGTTTAAATATAGGGAACTTCAAGGTATTTCATGACATCACTCTTATCTGAGAATTTAGCAAATGAACTAAAAAATAATTTGAGAAAATTGTTATACACTCTGCTAGGCATTTGAGGACATGTAAGATGGAGTTCCATCCTTTATCATAGACCAATTTTGAAGTAATTCCAAAGGAGGAAAAATAACACGGCATAGTTATGATAAATATGGGGCGATTTTAGGATAACAAAAAATGGGGAGATGCCTGTTTTAGTTGCAGTGGTCTGGAGTTAGAAATTGAACTAGGCTCTGAAGGAGATATATTTGGTCATATAAGAGGGAAAGAGGAAGTGGCATCCCAGAACTAACAAGTAGAAATGAATATGACAGTGATTGAGTCATACGTATCTGACACTTTAGTTACAGTAATTATTAAATAATGTTACTGTAGGCTTCTGATGATATCTTTGTAGTGTTTAAATAAATTTTTGAAAGGTCACCATTACAATAGTTGCAGTGTTAGAAATGGTCTGTAAACTTTTAAAGGCATGCTGAGTATTTGTCTCACTGGCCATGGCTTTAGTTCTGTTGTCAGGTGAGAGACCTTCTGTTTCAGAGAAACCTTAAATTCTGTTTAGTTGTTGCATATATTAGGTTGGTGCAAAAGTAATTGCGGTTTTTGCCATTAAAAGTAAAAGTAAAAAAAGCAAAAAGTAAAAGTAATTTTAATGGCAGAAACCACAATTTAAGATGCTAGTAAAGCATGCTATCATTTTATATACAACCTACTGGAAAAATTACTATGATAAGCTGGAAGCTTATTATAAAGATGCCATCAATTATAAGAAATATCTTGATTTCAGAGATGTTAACATGTGAAAAGTATACCCTAGAATCAGTGAAATGATGGTGAAATACACTATACAGTTAAACTATTCATTTTTGTAAATACGATTAATTTACTCAAATATTGGATAGAAGTTATTTTTATTGTATGAATAATTTAGGTTATTAAAACCCAAATGAGCAGAAACACTTGACTATCCATATTAAGTACATTTTAATATTGATATATGATGGATGCTCTGTTTGTTCTTTTTTTTGTGTGTGTGCCAAAACCCAGGAATTAATGTTACGTATATTTTCTGTAATTTTTCTGTTAACTGCATTTCTGCACATCAGTTTTTTGTTTTTTTTTTAACTTCCATGACTTTATATTTCCTGGATATTGTCCTTTTTTGCTGATGGGATGGTCACACCTTTGACTCTAACATGACATAGCCCATCTTAGACTGTAGTGAGGGAGTCTTTGCTGGGTTTGAAGAAGTGAGCAGCCTTCTGCACATCAGTTTATTTTTTAATCTGTATTAAGTAATAGATACTATATTATATTAATAGTATAATAATATTTGATTATTCCTTAGTACATTTCAGATTGATTTTAACTTTCATGGGTCTTTCTTTGAAGCAGCCAAACGGTATTGCTTATTTAAACAATTTGTGGGAAATAATTTTGAACATTGTAAAAGCCTCTTTTTATAGAAATCTAATTGGTTTATGTTCTTTTCTTCTCCAAGGTACAAATTCTGAGCTGTCTAACCCCTCTGAAACGGAATCTGAGCGTAAAGACGAGCTGAGTGATTGGTCATTGGCAGGAGAAGATGATCGAGACAGCCGACATCAGCGTGACAGCAGGAGACGCCCAGGAGGGAGAGGCAGAAGTGTTTCAGGGGGTCGAGGTCGTGGTGGACCACGTGGTGGCAAATCCTCCATCAGTTCTGGTAGTCTTTTCTATACTCTGTCAGCATCCATTCTTTGTAAACAGTATAATTTTACACAAGTTAGTTCATCTCCCAGGGCCATCCATTTTTGGAAGTTTCTCTTTCTACGCGTCTTAGAGAAGGTAGTGGATCATATAGAGTATCAGGAAAAGCCCTTGTAGAGTGTTTCTCAGTGAAGGGTTACTTAGAATATTCTGGTCACGACTTTAGTTGACAGCTTTTCTTTATATTATGAGGGTCAGATGTTTCTCTCTTCAGGTTTGGGAGGCTTATTTAATTAGAAATTTTTTGTTTTCCCTAGAATTTTTGGGTTATGTATTTTTGTTTGCCAGACAGACCCAGAGATTTCTAATGCACGGAGAGATGTCAGTACTTTTCTATATTTAGTATTTAAAACTAAGTGAAGAGCGTTCTTAGCTATACTATATAGTAGTTTGGGAACAGGGAAAAATTGTGGAATTAACTAAGTTTTTTAATCATTTGAGGAATTGTGCTGTAAAGGAGTGTTTGGATGACCAAAGATTTGAGGGTGTAGGAAACATTTTACTTAATTCTGTCTTCTGAAATTTTTTTATGCTTTACATTAAGTTGTAGGAGTTTCCAGAATATTCTTGGTTAGCATAACAGGCTAGGGGGATAATTGCCAGGGATACATAGACTATTAAGGATATAACTTTAACATATCATTATGGTATACCACTTTAAGAAACCCACACTTTCCTTAATGTTATACCCATGAAAACTTATGTAGTACTTTAATATTATAGAAAGTGTGTGTAGATACGTTAAATAAGATGCCACCTGTGCTTACAAATTACAAAAACTGGAACAAATCAGGGCAAAAATTAGGAACTTGTTCTTTGTTTGTTTAGGTTTTCTCACTTTCCACAGTAATACTCTTTGAGCCCTAATAAACTTACAGGCTTTCAGGAAAATAGCTTTTATATTTTAGTACACTGTGTACAGTTACCAAGGTGTTTAAAATTACAGTATACTGAACTGAAAAATAAATGTACTTGACCTAGTGTTTTATGATTAATGGATACGCTTAGTGTCTTTTGCAAAGATGGTTAGCTTGCTAGCTGTTACCAAAGGAATCTTAGGAAAAATCGGAATTAGGTGAATTTCTGCTATAAATTTGATTGTTGGAGGTAATAAATGCACATAGGTAAGACGGGTATTTTTCTTATGAATTGTACCTTAACAGTTTTTCCTTTTCTACCTTCACCTAACCTTCACACGTTGTTTCTAAAGATGGAGTACTAGTCAGCATTCGTTTCAACATTTTCCTTTCATAACCAGTTAGAAGTTCAACCTTATTTAATTGGCTGCTTTGTTTCATCTTGTTTTGATTGCTTCAGTTCATAGTTACAGATTTCTATTATGTCATGGAATGTAGGTATTGAGTATTATTTGGGAAATAGTCTATCAGTATCAACACAAGAAAGCTGCAGTCATTTTGAACTCAGTTACAGGGACGAAAGCTCTTTCGTATAATTATTTCTTAACAGCCGAATATTTATTTCTTTTCACTTTTGTTTTTCTAGCCTCTGGGCAGGATAACCTTGAAATGTGAATGCCAGAATTAGCATGTAATACACTATTTTCTAATGTATATTTTAAAAACAAGGCACAGGAAATGTTAGGAAGCCAAGATGTCTGGTCACTTCTGCTTTAATTTTTCATCACCACTTAAAGTTTTATCATATTTAATTATCTTTGTTATTTTCCAGGTAAATAATATTGAAAACATTTTATTTGAAGACAGTGCATTTTTATTGGGGGAGATTGAAGTTTATCATTAATTGATATAGTTCAATATAGATCAAACATTCATAATTGCAGTCCTCTTAAACGAATATTTCTTGCCTCTGACATGAATATAGTGCTCAAAGATCCAGACAGCAATCCATACAGCTTACTTGATAATACAGAATCAGATCAGACTGCAGACACTGATGCCAGCGAATCTCATCACAGTACTAACCGTCGTAGGCGGTCTCGTAGACGAAGGACTGATGAAGATGCTGTTCTTATGGATGGAATGACTGAATCTGATACAGCTTCAGTTAATGAAAATGGGCTAGGTATGTAAGTACTTAGGGAAAATAAATACATATATATATATAAATTGTATACTATTGTTAGTGTATGAAGCTTTTTTCAAAGAAAGTATGCAATTCACAAATTGACTTTTTCTTAGTGTTTACTTGGAACAAGGTAGATAGCTTTTTGTCTGTCTTAAATGTTTAGTTCTCAGATTTGTTATAGCCAAATTATTTGAAACTTGGAGGGTTAAAGTGCCCTTTGATGCCATTAAATCAGTACGGCAAGGTACTTAGTGCTTTTATTGTCCCCAAGCTAAAATCAGGCTTTCATCTTACCTCTTTTAAAATAATTATAAATGACACTGGCAAAGGTATATATATCAAGAGTAGGCATTAATTTTCAAGGGCTAAAATGTCATTAACTTCGGTATAAACCAAACTGTACTAGAGAGGAAAACTGGGTCCCTGAATGATGGCAGTTTAAGTCTGAGAGTTTTACTGTGAGTTAAAACCCTCTGAATTTCCAGATGATAATTCCATTTTTAATCCATTTGGAATGCTGAAAGCTACAAAAATGTATTTCCTGTCAGTAAACATTTGTTGTTTTATTTTTGGTGTTTAATTAAAAGTTTATTTTTACCCTTTAAATCTTTGAAGGAAAGGTTTTTTTTTTCTTTGTTTGTTTTTGTCAGAATAGTTCATGGTAAACTTTGCAATTACAGATGATAGTGAAAAAAAACCCCAGCGACGCAATCGTAGCCGCAGGCGTCGCTTCAGGGGTCAGGCAGAAGATAGACAGCCAGGTAACTTGAGTGGACCTGTTGACAACATCAGGTTACAAGCATGAAAAAAATGTCATATGTCTGCTTTCTAAATATATTATACTTACATGTACACATGTGTGCATATACATTCAAAATTTGCATTGCATAAATTGTTTATTCAACTAATAAGACTACTACTATTAAGAAAATGCATTCTTCCTTCACAGTGTGTTAGTAACTTGTCTAATTGAACTAATGTTGTGTCCTAATTGTTTACATGGAAATACTGTTGAGAAGACCATTTTGTTCACTTGCCGGTTTCTTCACACTTGAGATGGGGCCTGCCATCCCAGGGACTATGTTGTAGATTGTGATTGAGGTTGATTGGCAAAACTGGGCAGCTTTTGCATGGTGCCTGCTTACTGTATCTGAATTCAGCACCTCATTTTTGTGGGAGTTGTAATACCCACAATTTAAAAAAGTATAAAAGAGAAAAATATTTGAAGGTGTCTTTAACCTAATACGAGGAATGCATGTTATGTTTTTGTTTGTTTATTGTAGTGTGGTGCCTTTTCCCTTACACCCACTAACTATTCAAATTAATAGTACTTACTTTTAGAATGTTTATTTTATGTAGTCATTAATTCTTAGTAACTTCAAAGAAAGTTGTTTGCTGTGTCTATTATTTTGAACATAATTCCATTTCCTATGTACAGAGAATCACATGTATATTCACAATGAAGCAATTGTGTGCACCAGAAATAAACCCCTTTCAAACTAATCAATTTTTGCATTCTTTCCAAAACCAGTTCTTTTATGTGTTTTCCCCAAATAAAGAATGTAAATTCTGGCATCTTTACTATTTTAAATTTAGTGGTTGTAGAGACATTTGGGAAAACTGATTAAGAGAATTAGTTTCCATCCCTAAAAGTTCATGTTTTAAAGATAGTTGGAAAATTTTAGAGCAATTAAATATTGTCAAAAAATTGGAAGTGTCCAGAAAATATTTGTTTTCCTTCCCCTTCTTTCCTCCCCTCCTTTAATGTTGGAAATATATTTTAGGGCTGAGCGCAGTGGCTCATACCTGTAATCCCAGCACTTTGGGAGGCCAGGTGGCAGGATTGCTCGAGCCCAACAGTTTGAGACCAGCTTGGCAGTGGGATCCTGTCTAGAGAAAATATAAAAATTAGCTGGATGTGCTAGTGTGCACCTGTAGTCCCAGCTACTCTGGAGGCTGAGGCGGGAGAATCATTTAAGCCTGGGAGGTTGAGGCCGCAGTGAAGGGTGATCGTGCCACTGCACTCTAGCCTAGGTGACAGAGTGTGACCCTGTCTCAAAAAAAAGAAGTATTTTAGATGAAGAGATTATTTCATTTTTTGAAGGTGGTACAGCAGTGATACATTTTCTGGCCCTACTGTAAACAAGAAAATTCAAGCTATCCGTATGAATGTAACAATATATTACAGCATTTATTAACTAGATACATGCTGGTTTATTACCAAGTCAGCAGGCATAAAAGGAGTAACAGTGGGGTTTGTTGGAGAAGAGGCAAAAATTTCTGTATAGTATTAATTGCAACTTGAGTAGTTTGGAGGCTTCAACAGTTTGACAATGATTTCTTTCCATACTGCATCTATTCCTGTTTTACTTCTTTGGGATAACTACTTCCCTCTTTTAAAACTTCTTGCATTTCCTAGCTTGCCCCTTCTCCCAAAAGATAGAGTGGGTGAAACAAGCACAAAATTGTTACCCTTGGTCCTGGTAGCAGTTCTAGGAGGCAGCCTCCATCTAAAGTTAACATCAACATTCTCTTTAAAACGCTCATTTAATTTGATCTCATCTGCTCAAAATTTCTTGCTGCTCTTCGTGTAAATTAAGCAGTGAATATTCTTTACCATTCTTAGAATGTGACAATACACACTGGTGTCCAGTTGATTAACTTGGATCCCTTAGAGGAAATTCTAGAGTCCATGTCATTACACAAATTGCCTGTATTTTTTCTAGATATTGTTATTTATTAATCTGTATTGGATTTTTAAGGGGCTTTGTATTATAAGGACTGGCTATGAACAGGTTTTTATTTGAATTAACAGAGGTTTCTTTTGGCTTCCTTTTATTTAGGTAGGGGATACCCCCGCTAAGTGCTTGCTAATTTAGTTGAAAACTGTATCAAAATATATTATTCTATCTCTGTACACAATGGATGAAAGGTTCTAGGAATTGTTTCAACATGTGTTAGGTTGGTGTAGTTTTTGCACCCATCCCAAAATGGTGAAAACCACAATTACTTTTGCACCAACTTAATTTAGCAGCAGGGTTTCCAGTTAGATATTTAGGTGTCACTGAGGGCCGAACTTGGAAACAGTGCATTCGCTATGCTGTTCCCCACACTGGCTAGAATTGTTATTGTAATAGGTTTGCTGCCATGTATATAGACATAATAAAGTGGATTATGACAATAGCCCTTTCCCCAATATTGTAAACTCTTTTTAATGTAGTTATAAATATATTAGCAATGAATTTAATTTAAAAAGCCTCAAGATGAGCGTACTGAGTTTCTTACAGTTTGGAAGGAAAGAGGTAGTTTCAGATTTGAAACGTCTTTAGTGGTTTTCTAGTAAATGATATATGTAAGCTCTGAAATAGGTTGTTCCCTTGTGGTTTTAAAAGATATACATGATAGTTCTAGGAAGTTCTTGGATCTTAATGACAGTGTTAGCATGTTAATTCATAATTAAGAAATATGAATTGTAAATACTATCCAGCTTTTTATCATACCCGAATGATTTAGTTGTTTTCATAGAATTTATACTTTATGGACCAATTCTCCCCATACCTGGTGACTTTAAATAAATAATTTAAAATTTACCGGAGTTTTCATTCTTCACGTAATTAAATTGCTCCCATAATTTAAAATATATATTGTGCTTTTACATATCAGGGATTTTCTAAAACAGTTTGTGATAGAAAATAATTACTTGAAAGAAAAAAGGGTGGTTCTTTTGATATTTCTTAAAATCAGTGAATTCTAAGTTTCAATTCTTTTTTTTTTTTTTTTTTTTGAAACAGAGTTTCACTCTTGTTTCCCAGGCTGGAGTGCAGTGGCACAATCTCAGCTCATTGCACCCTCCACCTCCCAGGTTCAAGCAATGCTCTTGCCTCAGCCTCCTAGGTAGCTGGAATTACAGGCTGTGCCACCACGCCTGGCTAATTTTTCATTTTTAGTAGATGGGTTTTCACCATGTTGGTTGAACTCCTGACCTCAGGTGACCCGCCCACCTTGCCTCCCAAAGTGCTGGGTTTACATTTGTGAGCCACCATGCCCGGCCCTAAGTTTCAGTTCTTGAGTGTTGATGTATAAAGTGAGTCAGTCCACATACTGTAGAACATAGGTAATTTGTTGAAGTTGGGTTGACGGTAGGGTGTTAGTTTCGTTTAGTCTTTTTCCTAATTCACTACTGCTACTTCTTTGCAAATACACATTTAAGATAGTCCCTACCAAGACTGACAAAGGGGGCGTGGGAGGGGTGTCACTGAATACACTCTGGACCTTTTCCCAGTCTGATCAATGTCTACATTTTTAGGGTGGTGGTCTGTCATCTTTAGTTTGCTTGTAGTTTCTTACTTGAATCACTCAGAATAGTTTCTAGTGTGAAACGTTGAAACAAAGCCATAGGATAAACCACACTTGGATTAATTGTGCTTAAAAAAAAAAATGAGTAAATATTTTTGTATCTGATGAAATTTTCAAATTTAAGTATATTATACTATGATTTGGATCAAATTTGCCCCATTTCCCCCCACTGACAATTGCAAACACTGGGCTTAGAACACTGCGTTTGTATTTCCTTTTACTGGTTGTGGGTTTCTCTACCAACTTTGTTCCACAACCTTAGGGTCAACCAGAAGCAAATAACTGGATTCTTGGGAAAGAGGAATTTAATCTAGATTTCCTCAATCTCAAGCTTGAAATTTTCTTCAGCACCAAAAACCCAGGCAGATTTTTAAAGCTTTGTTTTTGGTTGGAGGTGATACCCAGCTTAAGAAAATTTTGACACTGGGTGACCCACCACTAGTTTAATAGTGAAATTACCCTTTATCCATAAATAAACTTTAGAAATATTTTTTCAACACCTGTAATTTTTTTCTCATCTTTAACAGTCACAGTTGCAGATTATATTTCTAGAGCTGAGTCTCAGAGCAGACAAAGAAACCTCCCAAGGGAAACTTTGGCTAAAAACAAGAAAGAAATGGTAAGGAGAATTTAACCTGTAGGTTTTTGTTGTTTTTTTAATTTTTGGTATGGTTTAGCTTTATTTTTTTACTACTTTTACTGTGTGATCACTTGTTTCCACAAATAGACAATACTATTTTACTTAGACTCTTGAATATGTTCTTGGCCCCAGATAACTGAAGATATGCATGCTTGAGCCTGAAATGCTTTTTAGTTAGAGCTCCAAATAGCATTTATAAAATTCAATCTGCCCAAAGATACCGGGCATAGAGACTGTTGCCTAATTCAGGAGCAATAGGCTATATACCTCTTCTCATTGATGGATATAGACCTTTTAAATTTTAGTTCTTTTAAATGCTTTACAGTATTTGATATGTAAATGTGATTTTTCAAAAGGTGAGTAAAGTAGGTGATTATTTAAATGTTTAATATTAACTGTTTATGTCATTTTCATGGTGAGCTTGCCAGTGTTTTAAAATTAGGTACAGTTTTCATTAGTTCAGATGTTTTGTGTGGTTTGGACACTGCTACGTACTAGAGATACAAAGTTGGAAAGACCCATAGAGTGGAATACTTTGGTATTTGTTTTGAATTTTAGAGACGTTTTAATACTTTGATCCATTGTGGCTTCAAATATGAAACTGAAAATTTTCATTAGCTAATTAATGTTTATGTAGCTGTTTTCCTCCTCAGCTATAGATTTCATTTATAAAGAAGTTGAAAAAGTTGTCTCCCTTTGGCAGGCAAAAGATGTGATTGAAGAGCATGGTCCTTCAGAAAAGGCAATAAACGGCCCAACTAGTGCTTCTGGCGATGACATTTCTAAGCTACAGCGTACTCCAGGAGAAGAAAAGATTAATACCTTAAAAGAAGAAAACACTCAAGAAGCAGCAGTCCTGAATGGTGTTTCATAAACTGAAGAAGTTCCTAGTTTACAGTTCTTTTACATTACATTTACAATAGTGCTTGTACAAGCTTGCCAAAGATAGAATATGGATCGCCAGTCTTTACATCGCACTTTCAGTTCCTCCATTTGGAATTCAAAAAGGGGAGGGATCCTGAAGAAATCATATGTTAAACATACTTTGACACCTACTGTGTTATAAAATATATCATCAGATGTGCCTTGAGAATAGTATATGTAACATTAAAAAAAAGTTGCTGGCTATAGGAAATGTTATTTTGTTTTCAAAATATGGCAGAGATGGGGGGTGGTGGGTGGGGTGGGATCCCTAACGTAATATTCTTTATGAAAGCATTAGCTGCTTTTGTTACATTTTTAATATGCAACCACTTCTTCACCTGAGGAAAACTAGAATGAAATGCAGTCTAAAATATTTTGCACTGAATTGTAATTTCTTCATTAGTTTAGTCTGGAAACTGGTCTGTTTTAATGTGTTTTTTAAATGCTGTATGTAGAGGAAAATCTGCAGACCACTGGAATACATTTGTTAAACTCTCATCTGCAGGGACACTGGGCGATACTTGGCAGTGACTGTTCTACCTTGAGGCTTTGTTTGGTTTATTTATTAAAGTGTACAGTATTTAAAAATCAAACATAGCTTTAAACACTAAGCTGAATTAGTCATGTCCATTCAGACATAACCTGAACTACTGAAAAGATCAATTTCCAGAAGGTTTATTCTGTATAAACTACATGTTAGTCTTCAGTAGAGTATCTTTTTTTTTCCTTTTTTTTTTTTTTTATTTCGGTTGTTTGATGTGCAATATGTTTTTGTATGCAGGTAGTAAATAAACTTTGATCTTCCATTTGCTGAATTTTTTTAACTTTCTACTTTTTACACCAATTGTTGCAAAGTAGTTGGAGCTATTTATAGGCTTAGGATAGGATACTTCGCTTTTTAAAAAGCAGTTATACTTGCTCGTAAATAGCATTAAAATGTCAGCTGGCCATTTAATCATTTTGTAATGAATCCTCTGAAATCTTAACACAAGTTTAGGCTGTTAGATGCATAGGTAATTAATAATACATGTGATAATTAGGAAAAAAACCCTAACAAAATTCTAATCAAAAGCAACTTTGGAAGACAATGGGGGATAGAAGGTATGACAAGCAACTTTTAAATGATAGGCCAGTGTTTTGCTTCTTGATTCTCAACTTATTTTGAAGGCTCTCATACCAGTGACTAAAAATCAGTTATTAAACTTTATGTTTTAGTCAGAGCTTAATTTTTATGAAGATAAAGACATGAAGTTTAACAGTGGTACAACAATTAGTACAGCTAATTTTGAGGTCAATTGTTAGAAGGCTTTGTTCCACAATATATATAGACCACTGAACAAAGAATGACAGCCCTTTGCATCGTTTGGCATACAAAAAGTGTTTTTTGTGTGCATAGCCCTCAAATTAATTATAATTAAGGTTAAAATGTGCTGGTATTAAGTGCTTTTTCCTGAAGCCTTCTGATTAGTTCTTGGTAAGAGAATTTTAAAGTAAGGTGTGAGTAGTGCAACTCTTGTCCTTTATATATAAAAGGTATCAAGTAATTTCGTTTTGTGATTTAAAAAAAATTACCCACAAATGTCTTTTTTTAAATCGATCAAAGTTAGAAACAGTTGTCTCAGATCTCTTACATAATTGGGTTAAAAATTATAAGGTATTAGAGGAACTTTAATGCCAAATTGGTAAAGAAAAAAACGATTTTCATTCTCTCCCCTGTAGAATAGTCAGATACACTAAAATCCGTTTTCCATAAAGATTGTTTCAGTGGGAATGGAAGAAACAAAATCTTAAGAGTATAGCTGAACCAGTTCTTCATACTAGCAATAACCACATTAAGTTCATTATTTTACAAATGACTAAACCCAGTGTCTTGTCCTTTAAAAAAATATAGGTACTGCAGAATTGTGATAAATATGCATTTTTTTTTTAAAAGAGAGCCCACTCCCCAAATGGTAGCCATTAATTCAGGTAGTCTTCTAAATGTATTTGAGAGGGGTCCGTCTTTTTGGCTGCTATCCTAGTTAGATGAGATGTTGCTATGGGAAGAACTTGCCAGTATACACTAGACAGACACTTAAGCAAAAGATACATTCTGCAGCCAGGCACGGTAGCTCATGCCTTTGCTTCTAGCTACTCAGGAGCCTGAGGTGGGAGCATAATTTGAGCTCAGTTCTGTGCCATTGAGACCCTCTTTAAAGAGAAGGAAAAAAGGTATTCTGGAAGGTCTTGTGCAGTTCCAACAATGTTTCGGCATATATCTATATGAATTCATACGATACCTGAACAGAATCACGAAGTAACAGCTGAGATTATATGGTAGCAAAAATGACCTGCTTTTCCTGAGGCTTTGGGAGGCCTGCGATTCCTAGTTTAGGCATCACGATCTTTGTTAAGCCTTAAAGGGGGCTAAAACTTGTGCAAAATGGTGTCTCTGGTAACACTTCAGACATAATTGGCAAAAGTATAATAGGAATGCACAAATTTTTATTTTGAAATAATCATGTATTTTAATGTGGAATTAGAAGCAGCACATCAAACTGGTGAGTTCATAGAAATTTATCTGAGATGCTGCTGGGTTCCATTGCTGTTGTGTTAAGTCACGTATTTTTGTAGCTGCTGTTAGCTGTGTCTAGTGTTTTGTAACCTAAGGAGGGTCTTATAAAAGTTGGTATGTTAACTAAATCTTGGATTGGGAAATAGCACCATTTGTATCCTCTGCAAACAGATTTATGCTTTTGAGGTTCAAACCAACTAGTGTTCTCATAGGCTGTTGCCTAAGGACAGATAAAAATGGAAAACAGGCTATGTCAAGGGACAGATGATTCGTGATTAAGAATGGCAGTAAAGGAAAATTACACCCGGATTTTCTTCTGTAAGGTTTCAAGGAACTTGGATTTGAACTGAATCTACTGTTTTGGAAAAAAATCCCAACAAAAAGGATGTTTGTTATTGTCTCAGTCTTCCTGTCTTTGCTACACGATTTGGATCCCTTATGCTTTTTCATAAGATTATGTGTTTGCTATAGTGAATTTGCTAGCCCCCCACTGGTTTTTAAATTTTAGTTCTTTATTAGAACGTGTACTTGAATGGACTACAGTTGCTTATAACCCATGTTAATCTTTGATAGTATTTGGGGTTTTATTTCAGGAGCTTTTGCAATAAAGCAGGAACTGCAATCTGCTTAAAGTCAGACTGTTAGCAGGTGGTGTTAACTTAAAACTGACTTAAGTCCATTACATTGAACAGTAGGAAATCACCACTTTTGTAAGGGTCAAAAATGATCAACTATTAACAATTTCTTAAATCTAATTACAAATTTTAAAAAAGTTTATCAGTATATCACTTCAGATTCATCTGTATCTTCTGTACTAGTATTTCTAGTACTGAGGTAAGGTACACAATTCCCCTGGAAAAACTATACTCTAGTTTTATAAGATGATTTCCCAGTCCATTTGCTTGTTTCTTCTTTTGATAATTCAAAGAGATGCTTTAGGTGACAGTACAGAATTAGAAGCCACTATTTTAGCTCTATAAACTTTTTCTCTATGGTTTCAGTTTTATGCAACCAGAGAGGGCTGGATGAGTTGGTATCTTTAAGGCCCTTCCAGTGGTAATTTGAGTCTAGTCACATGTCAGACCCTGGGCAACACCTAACCAAATGCCCAAGTATTCTCACAAGGAGTATGCCAAACTTAAGTGGTGTTTGTTTTACATATGTATCCATCCCAGACATTTTCAACTATGCTGAATGCAATCTATAAGATATTCCAAACAAGGACAAAGTAATTTTTCACAAGTCTTACAGCCCCACTATTAAGTATGCTACTTATTAGCTTCTTGAATTTCTTTGTATTTCAGTGATTGGTATGTTCTTTTTATTTTTTTTGGAAAGTTTTTACCTCTTTGTACCCTCTTAATTGGATTAACTGTAAAATGTACGTACTAATTTATTAGTTTTAGAGAACATTTTCATTAAAAATATTTTCCAATAGTTTTTCTAGATAAACAATTTTTACTTAATTGTTGCCTGGTTGCTTAAATTTCAACCTCCTTAGACTTCCTTTTTCAGCTAACTTGGCTGTCTTCAGGTTGTGAAGAAAAATGTAAATATATATTTGAAATTTCATTAACTGAAACTGCAGTAAGGTGGCAGCAAATGTTAACCACAACAGATTATCCCATATCATTGGACTGTTCTATTATTGGGTCAGGAATAATAGGTGACACAGGATAGAAGCTTTTCCTATATATATCTTGTTACTAAGGCAGTAGTTGGCTCTAAGCTGAAAAACAGCACACTGTACAGCAGTCCAAAAACTAAAACCAGAGCTTAGGTCATTCAAGTTAACTGGTACTCAAGGTTACTCATTCCAGGATACTTTACATAACCAAAAACCTAGGAGAGCATTCTACATAGTAATTTTTTTTTACTTTGTTTACATAAAATTTACAGGTTTTTTTTTTTTTTCTTTTTAGCTTAGTCTGTTCTTTGACATTGTTGATCCATGTTCTAAATTTTCATCAGATTTAACCTGTTTGGAGGCTCATGTGCACTCAAAATGTGAACCTACTACAAGCTTCTGAACTGCAAAACAACTTTTTTTTAAGGTCACTGTCAACCTTATACAATTTCTCATGATTGAAAGAGAACTTCTCATTCCAACCTAAAACACCACTAACCCGTTTAAAAATGAAGCATTATGCCTGAGTGAAATTTTATTTTTAGACATTTCTGATACTAAGTTTTCTTTATGGGAGCCCATATATATTCAGTATACTAAATTTACACAGCTTTCAGTGTGGCAATAAGCTAGTTCCCTAATTTTTCTCAGTTCTCATTGGTATTCCATTTAAATGTTTCCATAAGTACTCATCATTTGGAAAATAGTTGATGGCAGGGCAGGATAACTTGCTTAAAACTAAAGTTGGAGAAAGTTAACTTCCAGGACAACCCATTATAGCTCACTTCTTACCAACAAAGCAGTATACAGCACCTTAGGACTCATTTCTAATAGTGTCAACCCAGATGGCCAGTAAAGCCAAAAGGGAAGAGGCTAAGTGACTCACAGAAATCTCTGAATTTGAGGTCTAATATTGAAGGCTATAGATAGGAATTCCCCACAAACTTCTAATGAGGACTAATATGAACATAGCAAATTGGAGAAGACAGCCAGGACCTAATTCTAGTTTCACTAGCTGTGGGACCTGAGAAAACGACCACTTGCTCTGGACTTTTGTTTCCCAAGCCATAAAACGTGGAGGAATCCTCACAATTTCAAGTTGGTCATGTATCCTTCCCTTTTACAGAGAAAGCTGAAGCCCCAAAGCTCAGATTTACCTGGCTTCTGCAGAAGTTGAACTTGCAACCTACCTCCCATTCCCTAAGTGTGTTTAATCATGCCGCCGCCTTTAAAATTTATCTGGAAGCACCAATGAATAAAGACAAAGGACCCAAACTGGATCTGTGGAGATAAGTACCAGACTCACATCTCAGTACCATCAAGGAAAACATGCTTAGGTTATCAGAATTGTAAAGCCATAGTACAAAAGTTAGGAGAATGGAACTTGGGATGTAAGAAAGATCAGCCATTCTCAGCATGTCGCCTTGGGTGCTTAACTTTACTAAACTTCATTTCCTCACATGTAAAATGTACATCATAATAACCAGTCTACTGAGAGATACAGGAAGAATACTTAGCACAGTGCTAGTACATTGTAAGTACTCAAATGTTACAGACCAAGTATTTTGTAAGAAAATACCAGTAAAAGATTAAAGTTTTTTTTATGGATCGTATTGGTATCAATCACCTACCAT